TGAATCTGAGCCCATATGTTCATGACTTAATGCATGTCGTAACAAGAGCTAGATGTGGTTCCCAACAGGGTAGGAAACACATGGGAAACATAGGTTTCGCATGTGGCAAAGACCTCAACCACCGCTCGGTAAACATATTTCCTTCACTGCCCTCGGCCCCTCGCGCATACCTATTCTGCGCTCAGGCTGTCACTCTCTTCAATGCTCATCGATGCATCCCCGAGCTACCCGTCCAATACTCAATATCTGCATCCCCGACTCTAGGTGCTGCTAGCTCTGACGCTGCCGCAACAGAAACCGCCGCTGCTACTCCCAACCCCTCTGCGCACTTTTGCTTTCGACAGCCTACCGTGACGTACATCAGTACTGACGGATGGACCCGACTGCACTCACCGCACCGACGCTTATGATTGGGCGCATTCATTTGGGCAGCATTTCCCTGTACACCAATGGGCTTCCTCTCCTCTTACCCTCTTCCACACAGAACTTGTGTGGTGTAGCGGCTAGCCTCTCCTGGATAGTATTTTGTTCTTTACATATTTCAATCATGAACCAACTCAAAGTTTCATGTGATTGGTTTACTGAGCGAGATGAGGATGCAATATACAAATCATGAACACCAGAACATGTATGTAGACAGTAGTAGGTACAGTAGCATGTAGTACGAGATGAAATCCAGGCTGCAGTGGAAATCACTGAAGAAAGGATACGAAGGTGCCAGGTCGTGGCGACTGATGGATAGAGACGAGGCAAATGATCTCGACGACGAGCGCGAAGGGGGGCATACGCTGCTCTGATGGCCCGAGGCGACGACATAGCTAAGCCTTTCTCCGACAGAGTTTACGGGGTCCAACCTTTACTAAGTCGAGTCGATCTATTTCGGATGCTAACAGGTCACAACATCACCAACTTTCCCGTAGCGAGTAACTTCAAAACAAACCTCGCAAAATCATGTGAATACTGACACAGCCTCGTCATTGCACCTAACCAACCTCAGTCTATTATGCGTTCGCTTAGGCTTTTTACTTCATCTCATCACTAATCAGATCACCCAAGTTCGATCTCACATAATAGTATCGCCTGACCCAGATGCTGACGGTCTTCGGGTTTTGGCTCGACACTGATTGAGCAAACGTTGGACCACCTGAACCATTATCCCCTTTGGTTTCATTTTTTTTCCTGTCAGTGGCGACTCACTCTTCTCGTCCCATTTCATATTTTAATGCATTTATTATTGTAGTCACGGTCTGGCTATTCGGAACACTCGACTCGAAACCCAAGCGGAAAATATACAGCCAGAGGCCCAGAGTTAACCTGCCGAATCCTCTTAATAATGATGAAATTACATCCGCACCGCACCGAGGAGCTCGATCATATACAAGGAAGAAAAACGTGTAGAAAGATATGACACAGGGTACGTGCTCGGTTGCCAATCTTCACTATAATCCCCAAGTCACAGATTATTGTTTATGGCATACTTACCCTTTCTCTTTTCCCCCGAATGCTGTTCATTATGTAATATGTAATTGACAACTTGATCTGCCGGAGCCAGCTGATTTTGGTAACCACTGCAAGCTGTACTGCTAATATGCACGAGGTCAAGAGCATTGATATTAATAAAACTCATAGGTTTAAATAGGGTTAATTCATCCGAATAACCTGACCCATGGGCACCATACCAGTATGGGGTCATCGGACAAGGTTTATTGTGCTGACTGACTCAACCTGAAACCTAAAAGCTCGAGTTTCCAATGGAACAGAATAGATCGATTGATGCAGACTCACGTACGGCAGAAGGAATTAATTTGCGTCCTTCGGAACAGGGAGCAACTTCATCCGGAATGATCTCTGACATATGTGACCGTTAGTAGCCGGGGTTATTATCGTCATCGCAGTCACGGAAAAGTGCATACACGTACTCGGCCCGTACCGGTATTGCAACATCCTTCGGAGAGTTTAAGCTCACCTTGTCACGGTAATTAGTGACTGTATAAAAGGCCATGCATCTTGGGTCAGAGCCCACAACTTCCCTGCCGCGTCCTTTCGATCATTGACTCATGGCTAGTCCAACTGTTGCCGACGCACCTTCCGTGCCGGAACCCACAACATTGCGCCAAGATGCTGATGTCGAGTCGTCCGTAGGCACAACTAGTTCAACCGATATAGAACATGTCGCAGTGAGTGACGACCCTCGTCAGTGGAGTTATGCTAGAAAAGTACGTGTATCTTACCATGCACTTTGTGACTATCCTGAAGCTGTAAAATCTGTAGACCACAACTTTGTGCATCGTGTCACTGGCTACAATGGTGTCTGCATCAGCTTCTAACATTCAAAATCGTTTGTCACATGGCTTTTCATAATGAATGGTTTTATATTGATATTTTTTTGCAGCTTCGAATTCATTGATAGAAGCAAATCTGAATGCGACAAGCAGCCAGATTAGCTGGACATTGGCGGCGTTCCTAATCATACAGGGGAATTTTCCTCTAATATGGAGCGCCGCAAGTGAGATCAAAGGTCGTAAGGTTGGTCTATGATAGGCACATCTCCCTTGATCTGCTTAATGAATACGATTTTTGTTTATCACAGCCTGTCTATTTGATGGCTTCGGCTTTATTCATGGTAGGAAGTGCTGCGTTGGCGCTTTGCCAGACCATCAATGTGATGATCGGCATGCGAGCAGTTCAGGCTGCGGGGTGAGCATTCAGGAAAAAGGCTTAGTCATTGATTGACACCCTCTTCTGCAGATCATGCGCTGTCATGGCTATTTCAGCTGCGACCCTGGCTGACATATATGACACTCATGAACGAGGGACCATGATGGGCGTGTTCTTTGCTGCGCCTCTCTTAGGACCTGCAATCGGTCCTATACTTGGTGGTTCATTGTCACAAGCTTTCGGTTGGCGCGCAAGCTTCTACTTCCTGCTGATCTGTGAAGTCGTCATCTTTATGTCCTTTCTCATCCTGTTCAAGGACACATACCGACGTGAACGGAGCCTCACCTATTGCTCTGCTTTACAACGACTTGTTACCTCCAAAGAACTCATTCAGAGTCCAAACGGATCTATCATCGACGGGCACGAATCCGGCAAGGACCAAACACAACCCCAGGATATCGAGAAACAGCCTCAAACGCCAAGTGTTACAGACAATACCTCAGTGATAACATCTACGCCAGGGCTAGACGATGTCAAACTATCGATAAGGGACATCAACCCATTTCCACCATACTTTCGAATCCTGTCACGGAAGAACAATGTTGTCATTCTTATCGCTAATGGTGAGTGAAGTGTTGACCTCCTGTAAACGTTGTTATTGACTTTACTTCGGGATAAGGGCTCGTCTTCGGATTTACATATTGTCTTTCATACACGTGCTCTCGCACTCTCGCCAATACATATGGTTATAAAGCATTTCCCATTGGCTTGGTTTTGCTTTGCTTGGGCATAGGTGAGGCAATTCCCGCATCGTGGATTGTGACCAGATGGCTAATTTCCTATGAAGGAAGTATCTTTGGGAGCGTGCTTAGTGGGCGTTGGTCCGATCGCGTGCTTGCGAAGATGACGGAAGCGAACGGAGGAAAGTGGGAAGCAGAAGTAAATATCTTTTATACTCCCGCACTAGAACTGTTCATTGATGTCTTTCGAAGATGCGCTTAGAGAGCTCGAAACTGGCGATGCTGTGGCTACCTCCATTTGTCGTCGGTTATGCTTGGGTATGCGAAAAGCATGTCAATGTCGCCGTCATTTGCATCTTGCTCGTGCTTATCGGATTCTCCTCCATGTCGGTAGACCAATTATTCACACTCGTAGTTGCGCTGACATATATTTCCAGATGGATGTATACCAGCACATTAGCATACCTCGTTGATGCCAACCCTGGTCGCTCATGTCCAGCGGTGGCGACCAACAGCTCATTCCGAGGATCCATAGCTTTTGTTTCGGTTTTGGTCGCTGTACCTCTACAAGTGAGTTTCCTTAATGCCCGTTGGGATTCACAAATTCTGATGTCAGCTCGGCAGGATGCTTTAGGAGATGGGGGATTGTATACGGCATGGGCTGCCGTCTTGGTTGGGATGGAGTTGCTCGTTTTATTGGTGTTACAGAAGGGTGAATCATGGCGCAGGGAAAGCGAGGAGCGCGAGCTGAAATCAGGGAATTAGAGGGTCTTTATTATTTTTATCGGTAAGACGGGTGTTCAATAGGGTTCGATGATTAAATAAAGCGACTCGGAGGAAATCAAGTCAAGTCTGTAATATTATACATATCATGTCGACATCATGTATTTGCATAGAATCTACTTCACCAGCTTCGACTACATAATAATATTATGCATCAGAAATTCTTTGGAGGATTATTGAACTTTGCGATGTGATTGATGTGAAGGGAGGTGTGCTCTGGTAGAGGTGATGATAATTTCGCATCATCCAAGGACTGTCGAGATTCGATGATGATCAGTAGCCGACGAAGCTAGAAAAAGAGAACAGCTGACAGTCACGGTATGAAACTCGTTTCCGCAGTATATACGATATTATTTCTTCCATTAAAATCCTCCCTGACTTAGTCTAAGCTTTTGAGAAAAGACACAATATTAATGTCGACTACCCATATGTTCTTCTAAAATCAAAGGGGGAGGCGGTGCACTGCAGGTCAATGTGCATCTAAGTAATGATTCTTGTAAGTAGTGATCTGAGTCTTAGTAATATATCCGGTTGGCCCTGCTTCGAACGCCATGCTTATCCACTGGCAAGCCTGTCAATCACCGAGTGTTCCTTCCATCATCAACATCTCAAGCTTGAAGCCCGACTACGTGATACTGCCACCCAGTCTCGCCAGCCGCATCAAATCTTAGCGAGGAGTAGGCTCGAGCGGAGACTCAGCTCGCTAATCCAGTAGACCACAAAAATTTAAAACATTCTTCAAAACAACTTGGGCGTCTCTCGGCGGTCACGGCGCTATGTACCCTTGCAAATGGGCTGAAGTCGGATGCGCCGGCTATGCAAGTTAGCGCTTTGTACCCCGGAAGGTGTACGGGCGCCATGTGCGTGTGCAATGCCGCAGTAGGATGATGGCGTCTCAACTTTGAGCGTTGCTACCGACCTTCATGATGACACCCCAATTCCTCGCCCATATTCTCAGAACATTTCAGAAATGGCTTTTACGGCTTTCTCGCCGTTATACAAGCTCGTTATCTGTTTTGTTGTCTTTACTCCGTCGATTTGCTACGTGCCGTTCAAAGCCCAGAGTTAGGAGGTCGACCACCCAACCTCATCTTCCCCGGGGAGCTCTTCTGCAACCCCTCGAAATGGACATTTCAAAAGAGGATCCATATACTTGTTCCAGTCGTTTGCCTGCTGGTGAAATACAGGAAGTTGCAAGAGAACCTCCATCTCCTTCAGATTTCCCTTACGAAACAAGTCCTCGACCCTCACGACGTATAGTACGAGATAATACGTCGAAGTCTTTGCCGGAGGCAACGATAGGATATCCAGGTGCCGTTGGGACGAACGGTCATGGCTCCAGGTCAAGTCTGGTTCTGAGTGTGGGGGAGGGTCCGACGAGATACGCAACTTATACGAAACGTGTTCGTGCTCGCCGAGTCACGACGATCTACAATTCCGTCGCAAATATCCACCGTAGATCTACGGACCCTATTGCTGTTCCACTGGATTTGTCTAATCAGACAACGCCAGTATCTGATCCAGTTATAGGCGGTCATAACATTGCTTCGCCCTACAGCGACGAGCGATTGGGTCCAGAGCAAGTAGGCCTAGATGACGGCCCGCCGATAGGCCTCTTGGTTGCAGAGGAAGTTGGGCGGTGTGAAGGGTATACACCAAGGTCAGTAGCGATCATCTCCTACATTAATTGTACTGCAGGGCTGAAGTTGTTAAAAGGAGTTCTTTACCGTCCCAAATCATTGTTCCTGCCATGACAGTGAAATTTCCCATGCACGAGTAAGCTATGTTGTCATCATTTATTGCATCATCTGAAATATTTTAAGCACTGCTGTGCCTCCAGGATGGACTACACTCGTGCATCCGCAAGGTTCTCGCTACTTTGTGAACGTAGAAAGAGTGCGTGAAGTTCATGTGTTATTAGACGCTGATGATCTGAGTCACAGCTACAATCAACAGCGAACATTCACACAGATGAATATTTGCGACGAAACAATATACAGTGACATAAGACACTTCATGGATTACTTGCTACGTTCACTCCGTGATGAAAGTGAGCACCTTGAGCTGGACATGGCGCAGGTGGACCTTGTGATCGAGCCGAAGGTTTCCACCGATGCCGACAAAGTGGTTTGTTGCTATTATTTCGCCAACCATCGTGATAGATGCCTCTTCTGGTTGGATGAGTACAGTACCGAGGATATTCTCTCCGAATGTAACGGCGTCGAGAATCTTTCACACATACGTGCGCAGTCAATGGTTTTTCGTGTTTCTGTATTTGACGGTTCGTCCTGGTTTTTGTATTCAGGGCTTGCCATCCAAGCACAATATTGGTGTGTTCTGCTGGTTCTAGTTCGTGCAAGTAAACTGACATACTCCGTAGGAAACATTGCGATTACTTCCCTTGCCTGTGCCCAATTACACAAGAGCTTGTTGATGAGGTGAAATATATGTTGATATATGCCGAATGTGGTCAGTATTTTCTTGTACCTTGGTGAACGTGGTTTAATTATCAGGTTGCAATCAACAGACCACCTAACCTCCCGCCACTCTACTGCGCCATTCGATGTTATCGAAACTAGAGACTACATATCTCTCATAGATAAGATCAAGGGTGCGTTACGTGGATACATTCTCGTGGAATCTCGTGTGCTTATGCTATTTTCCTCAAGTCCATCCTCCTGCGGATCAAAGCGTGCAACAATGTCACGCTGCCATTGTTATTGGTGATGTAACATTAAGCTCGATCTCATCTTGATATTGACTATTTTTAAGGCCGAATCATGTATGCATTCAGTCAGTGCTCTCTTATTGGTCTTACTAGCTGTCATTTATAGAGATTTTCAAGGTCGCAATCACTTCATTAACTCTCATGGGGAGAACTGTGTGAGATTGGCCTTTGAACAAACAGTCCATCCATACGCACCGTCGTTGTTGATAATCATGGTTGCACCTTTTTTGTTTTTGGACCCTATGGCTCTAGTTCGAGAACTGCACACGATATTTGTTGACAACACGCCTTCCTCAGAGCGGTGGAATACATTCAATTTAAACCTGAATGGACAGCTTCAGGACTCCACTCTTCTGGTAAATATACCTGTTCATTGTCGTGTCGTGCGTGCAACTGATATTGAACCAGGCCACCGTCTTACTCAATGCCAATGTTGGGTTTCTCGCTATCAACAGCGTTGATACGGGCGGTAGATCTCCTGTCCAGGTGGCAAGCTACATGTCTCTTGTGTCAAGCTTGGGAAGTATGATTCTTGGCTTGTTACTTGTTTCGCATAATCGAACCATGGGCCAATTGGGCACGGTCCTCCAAACGGTCAGTAACTACAAATAATGATCGCGATGATTCTCATGGCAAATAATTCAGGAAGTTTTCCTTTCACAACTCGGCGAGAAAGAACGCAGACTTGAAAGGCTGGCCATAATTTACAGCCTCCCGAAAACGTTGCTCATGTGGGGGTGAGTCTCCATCCTGGTATACTATATGGATGCCCTTACTCAACTATGTTAGCATGATCTTCTTCTTTGCGGCATTCTCCGTCCATTGGTGGAATCCTGGAGATCAAACTACCAGAGCCGTCGTTGGTTCTGTGATAATTCTCGCATTTGTAATGATCTTGTATGGCATCATGAGAGCCAAGTACGGAGGAGATCGCTGGTGGCGACTGCCAATACTGCTACTCGCAAGAATCGGTCTGAAAATACCAATTCATCTGGCTGACGCTGGGAAGCAAGTCATGGTATTCATGGGGATGAGAAAAGTCCAAGATCCTTCATCAAAGACTGGAAGGGACGTTCTCGCTCCACCGAACATTCTTGCATGTCACTCTCAAACAAATGCTGAGGCAGACGTCGCAGGGTGTAACGCCTCCCATCCAACAAATCCACTTCCCGAAGTATCCAGCCCAGATGATTATGAACACCACCCCAATTCTTCTATCCCCCAAACTCCATCCCAACCCACCGCTTTCGTGGATCCACCTCTACAACAGCATGACGGCATTTCCGCGCTTCCACCATCAGATCTACACACCAACCCAGGCGGTTTGCCAGGCATTGGCTCGTTGCAGCAGATTCAAGAAATCCAGTTTATATTCCGGTCTACTGCAGAGACTCGCTATGGACCTGGCACTGCACCCTTCGGCGTGCCTGGTGTAAGGGAGGTTGTGAACTACACCACGAATATAGTCGAGGAGCCAGAGGGATTAGAACATTCTCAACCTTCACCAAGCTAGACTGGTCTGAGCGGGCTAGCACTGGTTAGCCGGTGAGCATTGCCAGTCGGAAGTGTACCATAGTGAAAATATGTACTTATATAGAAGGCTTTTTACCAATGCTGAACGTCCTGGCGCCACATCCTTGGCTGCAGAGTCCCCGAATACCTGATCCTAACTCGTAAAATACAAGTACACACATCACATTCTCCATATACGGTGGACTGATTGAGGTGACTATGACTATGCAGTCGAAGAGTTCAAGCTAAGAGTTATACTACTTTGCGTTCCTCGGGAGTAAATAAGTTACAGTGCAGACATATACTGCTGGTACCATAGGTTGTTCGTGAAAAGCCAAAAAAGGGTCCTAGCTCCACCTGCCCTCTTAAGCAAGTGAAGAGTAATTGTGTAAGCGAACGAGTAGACAGAATTACCAGAAGCATTTCCAGCTTGTCTAGAAGTCACAGTGATGCACTCGACAATGATGATGATAGCAGATGATAACATGTTCGACCGCGGATATATCTACGTGCGAGTGACCACTTCCAGGATGGCATGCACAACTGCAGCAGGGTCGATCTGAACTTCTTGAGCAGGGTCACTCCCTGGAGCAACAGGTGGAAGACTGTCGGTTTCGAACCGCCTATAAATGGATAAAATGAGGCATCGGAGAAGAGAAATAAAGGCAAAGCGTACCGATCATTCCACCAAGCGATATAGTGGATGCCTAAGGAACGGACCGCTGTTTCTGCGTCGCGAGTGAAGACGTCAGCGGGGAAAAATTCCATGAGAGCTGAGCGTTCCGATGGTCTCATGAACACGCTGTCAGCGAGGCTATCTCCGTAAACACCCAGAATGACCTTCATGCAAGTCAGTTGCAGCGCAATACATTTAGAAGTGAAGCAAGCTTACATTAGACTGGGCGACGGCCGTCAATCGTTCCGCCCAGTGTCCCTCTGAAGAGACTATGTTGACCTCGAAGTCGTTGCTTTCGTGCAACGTTTCAAGAGCGCTGACCAGCGCGTTGTGGTCGGCACTCCTCAACCTTGACCCGTTTATGGCATCTTGTCGAGATATGTAAGTGACTATCGTTTTTTCCTGTTCGCTGTTGAGGTTTTGTGTATGGTAGTTTACATGCAAGAACTTGGCGAGATTCTGCCTGATTGGCTCCCACCAGTCCTTTGACGCATCCAGGCCGACAAGCGGGAGAGCGAACGGAAGCACATCGTTTGCTGAACGTGCAGCTGCACCAAAATCAGCAACAACCATCCTCTCGAAAACGAAAGGCGTTTCCATTAGAGCATAATCTTCCCAGTCTTCTTGATACATCAAACCGAGCAATGGAAAAGCGGCCTTGGGAAGATATGGATGAAAACCACTGTCTGAACGTTGACGTCTAATGATGGGACCGTTGAGGTCGGGTCGTATTCCTTTATAAGTAGGAATGTTTGGGAAAAACAGTCGTCGTGGCGGACGGAAAGGGTCCAGAGACGTTGACGTGTTCAGGGAACTGTGGGTCTTCCAGAGCGAGAAAAGTGTGTAGTTGCCTAGATATGTTATATAAGGACACGACTCATGAAAATGCAAGTGTTGACAAACTCGGAATAGCGTCATAAGATAGCCAACTCGTGCCTTGAATCCTGGACGACGTTAAGAGCGGTTAGAATAGTACACGTGCGACACTCACAATCCACCATATGAACCAAGTATGTCTCTGGCTTGCTCAATCGACAACACGACCCATTCTACTGGAAACGGAGCCGCATGCGAGTTGCCAGCAGACGATGCAATGGAACCCAACGAAGGGAAGCTTGAGGGAGAATCCGTCACAATGAAAATTGTGCCATTGCACATGATTACATTGTCCATGATTGAGAACCCTACAGGGGTTGCGATAGGTAATATCATTAGTAACACGTCCATAAGCAATTGCAGCACACCTACCAGCGACGTGTTTCACTATTCGAGTTTCAGGTATGTCTTTGCCCCAGTGCATGAAGCCATCGTTAACACCGATGTTTCCGAAGATGACTTGTTTCTGTGCCTCAGATACACGTTCGCTCTTTAGCCATATATCTCCTTCCGAGGCATATTCCTTTTCTTGCTGCTTATGAACGCTGGATATGCGTCTGTCGTCGGACACCCAGTCCCCATATATGTCCATGTCAAGACTACCATCCACGGTGGGATTTGAGGATATGCCAGGAAGATTAGAATTTGTAAAGAAGTCAGAAGTCGCTTCGAAGTTGTAGAAGACCAAAAAAATCATGATAGAGAAAAGAACGAGTGTAATTTCCCGCCGACTGAGAGCGAAAGGCCGAGCCATTGTTTCAGCTCAAGCCTGTGTTGAACGTTGAAATCTGAGCCGTCCTGTCGAGCGAGTGGAGATAAGTAGTACTACCCTGTAAATCCAACAAGTACAAACACACATCGTCTGACGTCAATGGATGGCCAGACCAGTCATGACTGTATTCGCTATGTAAGTACCAAAGATTACATCTGAAACACGACCGGATACATATGATACTACAAGAAGATCGAATGTAATAAAAAAAGTGTATAAAGGTAAGATGCACAAAAATTTACGCCTCCTGGCTTGCACCCTCCTTCTTGCCTTTGCTGTAAATGACGTCAGGTCTGAATAAACAGACATGCAACACAGAGCATACCTTGCTTTGCTAGGAAGTAATTCAGGGTTGATGAAGGGGACCACTCCTCCTTGTGAGATAACTACGTCACCCAGGAGCTTGTTCAATCTAAGCGACATCAGAGTTACCGAACCTTTGAGATGAGAAAACAACACACTCTTCATCGTTTCGGATAGCCAACTGAAGATGACGGGGCACAATACGTTGTTTCTGTGGTGATCATCAGCTTATGGCCTTCAAGAGACAGAAGGACCACCAACCTTGTTATCACGGGCGGCATTGCCTGCAAGCTCAAGAATCTCAGCAGCAAGGTACTCAAGAACCGCGGCAAGGTAGACTGGAAATATTCTGTGTTAGACCAGGCAGGCTTATCTGAGAGATACTCGACTTACCTGGAGCTCCTGCACCAACACGTTGGGCATAGTTGCCTTTCTTCAAAAGACGATGGACACGACCGACAGGAAACTGAAGGCCAGCCTTCGCAGAACGCGACTGTGACTTTCCTTCGCTACCAGCTTTTCCGCCGGAAGATTTGCCAGCCTTTCCTGTATCGTACACCACCGTGTTAAACTTGAGCCGACCAAAATTCCCAAGTCCACTGACCCTTGCCAGACTGTAAAGTAACACATATTAAACTGTGCTCCAATTGATACAAAAGAAGGACATACCATTGATAGCGCTAGTTGAGTCGGGCGACTATTAGATTGGTGGTGGTTTGTGATAAAGGGATGATAATCAACAAACGGACTCGGAGACGCGACTTCCCGTTTATATATCTTCACGTGATGTAGAATCCTTACTTCCTAATTAAGAATTTTTACTTTTCACCAAATGCTTGTCCGCGCACTTGCCCATGCACGGTGGCAAGAAACAACTACCTTGCGCACATTTATTCAGCATCCAGGATGTACAAGGAATTTGACCTCTGGAACTGATGGATCTGCAGAAAAGAGGCCCTCAGCGAAGGCAACTCCCGATGAGTCGACAGTCTTACCGTTTCTGCAGCACCCGCTCGGTGTGAAGGAGAAACCTTCGCCTGTCCTGAAAACATGGGCGGACACAAGGGAGGAGTTGATGAATCAGGAGACGCGCCTGGCACAAAGAGAACATCTGTGAGTTGTCTACAATTGATTTGATTTGGAGTTGTTTTGACTGCTTGCAAGGGTGAAAGAAGCCACCAAGGGCTATTTTACTGACCTCAATGCAACGAGGAGGCACGGTGGTAAGACGTGGATAGCACCTAATGTGATGATCCGCGAGGACGTATGTTCCATAATTTTTCACGATGGCAAGGAGACTGACAACGTACCCAGAAAGCACTTTATTTCCCCAACATTGTCGGATCAAGCTTGGATACGAAATCTAAGAAACATACCTCCAGCATGTGTGAAGGTCATATCTCCGTTATATCTATGTTGTCCACAAGGATGTCAGAGGTACGTTCGTATCTCCTTAACTTTTTTGCAGCGCTCAGTATACTTAGATACACGTGAATGGTTTCACGACACCAACAAATGAGAGGTATCTCTCGAACCCCCTGTACCGATATGTCCAGATAAACTTGCAAGAAAACCTTCTAAAGTCCTTTCTCGTATCGCTATTTCTTTCATCAATAGCGAAGTCGGTCCCCCAAGAACTACATTCGACATACTTGGTGTCGAGTCAAAACATGGAGTTCGTGCGCGAGCACCTTGGTATGGTAAACAAACACATCGGGTACGTTTACCTTGTGGATGACAACCTCAAGGTTAGATGGGCTGGCTGCGCAGATGCCAAGGTAGAGGAAACGAATGCACTTGAGCAATGTACGGGAGTACTGTTAAGCAGGCTAGACAAGAAAAGATCTGCCAAAGCTCCACGATAGTTCTATGATAGTACCACGCAAGCAAATCGTGTCAAGCACTTATTCGTAGTTTAAATTACAGCATGTCTTGACTGACTTATAAATTTGTTTGTTGGAGATTTTCTTCTACAAGCCAGAAAGTTGTTTGTCCGTGTTGGCTACGTGTCCTGTTGTGACGAAATCCTTTCCAACACTTGCTGCGACTTACAATTCTCAAGTCGATCGAATCTCACGTCCATGGCTTCTCCTTCTCAGCAACTTCCCCCTGGTTGGACAGCGGAATGGTACTAGATTTGTTAGTTTTGATTTTCTGCACTTTTATTGACGAAAACTTGTAGGGATCCTACTAGCCAGAGATATCTTTTTATCCGTGCGTGACCTGCATGAACATTGGGATTGACCAATATCTTTCCTTGCAGAGGCATCGACTGGACGCAGCCAATGGGAAATACCGACACCCCCAGCTCAACCGATAGACCACGCACCGTCAGTGTCACCTCCCCCATCCACAACCCATCACGGTAGGCGTCGCCAATACGCAGCCGGGCAGACCCAAGCGTACTACGGCGCGGGCGATGCCCTTGGTGACCAGTATGGCGCACTTGGTGTACCACAGCAGCAGCAACCTGCAGCTACTACTCAGCTCTTTACTCCAGGACTCGCGGCAGAGGGCGGTTTCGCAGGTCAGCAGCAAGTCCCGCAAGCATCGTACTACGCACCCCAACAGGAGCCCCAGTACATCAATGCTCCTGGGTTTGGCCAGGAACCAACGTATCATCCACCCAATGCGCCAATCCACCATCTCACGGATCAATTCGGGCAGATGGGGATGGGGCAGAAACCGTTACATCTTACCACTACCAATCTACTTACGTCGCCACCAGACCCTCGTGAGCTGGTTCGCCCTCCTCCCGAGATTAGGTTGCCTGCGAACGCCTGCATCACGACATCACCGTACGCGAATGCGGATCCATCATACCAGCGGTGCACCGTCAATGCCATTCCGACCACATCTTCGATGCTGAACAAGTCCAAAATTCCGTTAGGTTTGGTGATCACTCCCTACCGAACGCTGAAAGAGGGCGAGCCACCAGTGCCTGTTGTGACTGACACGGTGATTGCGCGATGCAGACGGTGCAGGACGTATATAAACCCTTATGTTCAATTTATCGACAACGGCAATCGGTGAGTTTGATATACATTGGATATTAATTGGCAGGCTAACCTATTAACAATCATAGTTGGCGGTGTTGTATGTGCAGTATGTCGAACGAGGTTCCTCAGCTCTTCGACTGGGACCAGATACGGAATCAGCCTGGAGACCGATGGGCTAGAGACGAACTGAACCACTCCGTCGTCGAATTTGTTGCGCCCACGGAGTACATGGTCCGCCCACCACAGCCGGCTGTGTATGTGATTCTTATTGACGTGAGCCATACCGCCGTGCAGTCGGGTAAGTCATCACGGTCGGTGAAGTACCAGCTTCGTAATATCTTCCTATAGGTATGGTGGCAACGGCGACACGTACTATACTTGAGAATCTTGATCGCATACCCAACGAGGACGAGCGCACTAAGGTTGCCATTATCGCTTATGACATTTCTCTTTATTTCTTCTCCATGCCAGTTCGTACTTTCTGATCCTCTGAGATCTCGTACTAATTTGTTTTTGTTGTAGCCTGGGACGACGGAATCAACGATGCTCGTCGTTTCGGACGTTGACGACGTCTTCTTGCCGAAACCTACTGACCTCCTCATAAACTTGACGGAAGCGCGTCAGTCGCTGGAGTCGCTCCTTGGCAGAATCAATGACATGTTCCAGGATAATCACACTGTTGGAAGTGCCATGGGCCCCGCATTACAAGCTGGCTTTAAGCTGATGGTCAGTTGCTGAATAGAAAGGCATTGCAGTTTTTGAATTGTTTCTAGGCTCCTATTGGTGGCAAGATCATGGTACTTTCATCCTCTTTGCCAAATATTGGCGCTGGTTCCCTCAAAAATCGTGAAGATCTCAAAATTTTGGGCACATCCAAAGTAAGCTTCCGATCATGTTGCCGATTACATCTTAGCTGATGAATCCTTTACAGGAATCAGGTTTATTGCAAGCTGCTTCACCCTTCTACAAGACATTCGCCATTGAGTGCTCGCGTGCTCAGGTGTCGGTGGACATGTTCCTATTCAGCGCTGCATACCAGGACGTTGCCAGTCTCGGTTCGTGACTCCCCATCATTCTCCTCACTCCGAGCCCACCTAATGTATTTCAATAGCTTGCCTCCCACACTATACTTCTGGCCAAACCTACTTCTATCCTGCATTCAATGCTGCTCGGTCCGAGGATGCCATTAAATTCGCGCACGAGTTTGGCGAGGTTCTCGCGATGCCTATTATGTTAGAAGCCGTTATGCGTGTCCGTGCTTCGAAAGGTAAGGGATCATTTTACGTTGCCGTAATCAATGCTCATCAATGCAATCAAGGTTTGCGCATGGCTTCGTTCCACGGAAACTTCTTCGTCCGCTCTACTGACCTTCTGGCCATGCCCGCCGTGCCCACCGATCAGTCTTACGCCATTGAGATCCAGATCGAGGACACTCTTACACAACCATTTGTGGTTATGCAGACTGCAGTTTTACACACAACGTGTCACGGGGAAAGGCGTATTCGTGTCATTACACTTGCGTTGCCCACAACTAGCAGCCTTACGGAGGTTTTTGCATCTGCTGACCAAGTGGCAATCACAACCCTGCTAGCGAACAAAGCCGTAGAGCGCTCGCTTACCCACAAGCTAGAGGATGCCCGTGATGCAGTGCATCAGCGGCTGGTGGAGATCTTATCCAGTTACAAGAGCAGCATGACATCCGCAGGTGCAGGCGCCAATGCGCAACTAGCGATCTCGGAGAACCTGAGAATGCTGCCTGTGTTGGT